ATTGGGTATGCAGAGATGAAAAATAAAGAATAGAAAATTTTTTGCTAAAATTAACAATATATTATTTCCATTGTGAAAATAAATAAAATAAATATGTGATAACTATTTAGCATTCCAAAATTTTTTTTAATAATTACCTAATCAAATAAAAAGTAAATTATTCAAAGAAGAATGATAAATTATAAAAAGAAATGCAATTTGGATGCACCAGTTAATCCAAGATTTGTAGTATTGTGTTTAGGAGCTTTGAGCAGTGCAACTCTCAGCTAGAAGTATTAATAATATAAATTTTTATAGTTTCTCCTACTTTTTTAAAAAGTTATGTGTAACACAGTGATCACTTATGTGGAGCAGGTCTATTTGTTTGTCCCTTAAGTGTTAAACCCATACTTAGTTTTTAGATAATTTATATCGTAGTACACAAAAAAATATAATTAATGAGCATTCTTTTTGTAAAATTTACCATCACTTAAGAGTTCTTATAATATATAATCTATATAATACCTTATATAATTATCGAGACTATAACATAGTAAATTTTTATAGATATTATTCTTTTTATATAAAATAGATAGATTTATACATTAATTAAATATTTATGGATCTGCCAAATAACTTTATAATTAAATATTTTATAAGAATTATTAACAATAATTAACAATTCTAATAAAGTTCAAGTAATGTACACATTCAATTATTGAGAAGATTATTAATTCTTAAATATTTCAAAACAATAAATGATTAAGTATTAATATGATACATAATTATCGTTGAATTCTATTTTTCTTATGTAATCTATTTTAGTTAATGATTCATCTTATTATTAATAAAAAAGGTTTTTGATGGTTTTTATGATGGAGGTTATACATAACCTGGTTATATGTATAAAAAAGTTGGAGATGATTGATTGCATTTTTATTAAGGATAGATGATATGGATATTTATTATTGGCATATTCAGGTTAATATTTGGTTATGTATTAAATTTAATGGGCTGTTTAATTAGATAAGGTGATTTTATTTATATTTCATATTAGATATGAATAGGTGACATGTATAAATCTTAATATGATTCTAGTTTTACCAGAGGAATTTTAATTATAAAAGAGAATACTTGATGATTAAAGTCTTATATAAATAGATTCATTTGAGAATAGGTTTAATTGGACCATTACAATTAGTAATGCGGCTGAATGAATAATTTAATACAAAAATATAGTAATTTCTTAGTAAAAATAAAGAGATATTAAGATTACGATGAGGAGTTTAAGTAATCTCTTCTTGATGATGAAGATGCATATCTAAGAGAAAACAAGTAAATTATCGTACCCATTCATTAGACATTTCTCTGTTAAAGCTCTAAGTTATGTGGATGAGTCTTAAAGTGTTCCCTCTTTAAGAAATTTCAAATTTCAAGAAGCCTTCCCTTGTTATGCTATCATATAAGCAGCATCTATTTTTTTTATTCATTCTTGGTGGATAAATCAAATTCACTTATATTAGAACACTAGATTATGATTCATCATTTTTTTTTTATCATAATAAATAAAGATTTAGGAATAATGGATTATGTAAATGAGAGATATGGAGTTAAGTAGTTGATTGAACTATAAAGGATTAAATCTAGTCTAAATAGTTGTTGTATAGCACAATCCAACTAAATGAATATTAAATGTTTATATTCAAAATTTTAAATAAAAATACATTATAGTCATATTTATAAATTATTTAAATTTACAAGAAGTTTTAAAATCAAGAAAGAAAATGATAAATGGAACCTTTATTAGTCTATTAATTTTCATCAAAATAATGATGATAATATCTAAATGTCTTAAAATTCAAGAAATTAAAACTCCATTTCCAATTTTTCAATTGGTATCCAGGTAATATTTGAACTCTTGGCTAATTATTCAGTAATATGTTTAGCTTTCTAATTTCTTCATCTCAATTTAAGTTATTAATATAAGAAATATTTCTATCTGTTCCTCTAGCTGCCTCTGATTCTTCTTCAGATAAAATAATCTTTGCATTCTTTTCCTCTTCATCTCTCAATACTATAATTTTTTATCTTTCAGCTAATTATTATGCGACTTATTTTGCTTCAATAATTTAAGCATATTCTTTGATAAATCCAAAATGAGTAATCGATATATCATCCAAATTATCTTAAACTCCTTGTCTCTTTCAATTAATCCTTAATTAATTTCTTATCAAATCTTCTCTCTCATTTTATTAATTGATTTCTATTATGCTTTAAGACTTTATTTGCAATACTTCATAATTCAACCCAATTGTTCTATTTTATTAAATAAACACTTTACTTTTAAATTTCAGTGAGGAATTCTGTATTATCTATGAGATTTATTAACTATTTTGTAAAAATATAAAAACTAATAATAATTTTAAAAAAAATTTATTCAATCAAAAAGAGATTGATAATTCAAAATGAGTTAAATTATTATTAATTATAAATTTTATGATTTCTTTATTAGTATTAATTCTGTTTATAATTAAATATTTAAAATGTATTTTATTATTTTATTAGAAGAA